CCAAACTTCTCGCGTACAAAGTTTGCCGGCAGTAAAAGTGTGTGCTATGGGAATGAAGGGAGTTGAGTGGAAAATGTGTTGTTCCCTTACGACAAACTTTCTACGTGCGAACTAGGACTAACCAATCCATTTAATAATATTTCTTAAAAAAAAAACTGTCATATGAGGACAGATCAATATGTCTGAGATTTTTCCAACTTCCTCGAGATTTTTCCAACTTCCTCGAGATTTTTCCAACTTCCTCGAACATTGCTCCCATCTAGCACAAACTTTAATGGTTCTGTAAGATTTTGAGAGTCTCATATGTTGTATATCTTTTCTATTATACAATTATATCTATATATATAGGTAGTCTCAGCTCTGTATTTTCTTTAATTTTCCTTGTCAAATTTGATTGCATAGAAAACTAGTTTCCATCTCTGACTTGTGTATATACAATGGATGAATATACATTTTGAAAATTAATTGATATACATAGGTCTGTTTTATCAATAATTTCGTAGTTTGAAATTAATATTTTCCCTCTTCAAGCCCATTAATTAGATTCGAAAAAATATTATTTACCCAGTAATATACAGTAATCATGATAAACTAAAAGTCAAAATTAGTTTGTTTATATCAATAAATTGTCAAATCAATTTTGGAATTTAAATTTTTTAATGAAAAATTATTTAAATTTAAAATTTATTTTCATCGGAAAAAATAATTTAATCAAAAGAATTGTTTGTTTGTTGCATGCAAGAATATAGGTAGACGCATCGACACAGCTGCTGGTTCAATGAACTGTCAAACCACTTTTGGAATTGAACATTTTGAATGAAAAATTATTTAAATTTATAAGAAAACGCGTATTATAATAACCTCCGAACGACGTCGTATAAGAAAACATATAAAAAATATTTATATTTGAAAAGACATTTAAAATATTTTGACATATTAATGTTCCCAACGGTTGATGCATCTACCTGTATTCTCCTAGCATGGTTTGTTGTGTGAAAATATATAAAATTCAATTCGTGGTAAAGTATTATAATTTTTTTGAAAATACGATATATTCACAATGTAACCAAAGGAAATAAAAAATAACATATGCAAGAGTGTGTTAGCAAGAATTATGAGTCATGTGTAAAATGGCATCTTTGACATACACATGGAAATACACATGGATAATAAAAGTAACAGCACATATGTAAAACACTTATCGTCTGTTAGCAGCTTTAATAATTTTGTCGAGACATCCACCAACTAGGGATATATAAATCGATTTTCTATTAACTTTTAGTGTTGGCAAGGCAGAAAGTGGAAGTCGACTTTTCTGTAGTAAAGACTCCCAAAGTCGACTTTCGATCATAGCTCTTTGTTCGACTTTTCATTTTCATATGAGCGAAATAATATGCAACGATTAAAGCATTTTTTTTTTTAATTTTCTATTTTTGTGAATTAAGATCGACCTTATCAGCTGTTTGTCAGAACTACGTGTCGAAATCGATTTAAGTAGACCTTAGTTTGAAGTGCTAAAATTGAAAATGGATTTTGTGTTGGTTAGACAAAATCGAAAGATCAAAATGTCGTTTTCTTCGTTGAAGACAAAAATATAAGAGCCTAATGGCAAATTTGGGATTATGTCGCAGTGCCGATGTTGAGTGTACTGCCGTACCAGTGATGTTTTCCGTTAGTATGCAGATTCCTCGCCGGATTTAAAATAAATTCAGTCGTGAGAAAATCTATTTTTGTACGCCAAATCTGATTTCATATTGATAATGCGTGTTAATGCGGATAAAATTTTGTATCTAAACGAGCTATAAGACAACTGTCAGAACTGGTGTCATAACATCATCGCATTTTTGATTAATGAAATTTCCAAAGTCGGCTTTTTGTAATCGATTTTCGACAATAGCTCCTTGTTCGCCTTTTCATTTTCATATGAGCGACGAAATAATATACAACGATTAAAATGTTTTTGTTTTAATTTTCTTTTTTTTTTTTGTGAATTAAATTTGGTTGTTTGGCGGAACTAAACCTCAAAAAAATTAAATTTTAAATCGATTTTAGTCGACTCTTGATTGAAAAGTTATAATTGAAAATGACTGACTACAACAAATCGAACAATTGAAAAGTCGACTTTTGTTTTTCACTTAAACAGATCAAAGCTTTAATAGTGACTTCAGCTTGAAAATACAACACTGTTGCACATGTAGCTGACAATAGTTTTGTATTTTCAAGCTGAAGTCACTATTTAAGCTTTGATCTGTTTCACCCTTAACGCCTGTGTCACAAAAACAGATTTTGGTATTTTGACAATTAATAAATAAAACCTATTGTCCTGTGTTTTGGAAACGCAGAATAAGGTTTCTCGCAAATCACATTAAAAACAACTGTCAAACCAACTTTGGAATTGAAAATTTTCAATGAAAAATTATTGAAACTTCTAAAATCTTTTGAAAACTTATATCATAATCACCTCCAATTGGCTTCGTATAAGAATAAATATAAAAATCTACTTATTTTTGAAAAAATAAAAAAATAAATTAATAACATTTTTTTCTTCTACCATAAAATCGAACAATCGAAAAGTCGACTTTTCGTTGAAGGAAAAAACGAAAAGTCGACTTTTGTTTTTGGCTACGTATTCCTAATAACTTAAACGGATTTAAGCATGGTAGAAGAATATAGGTAGAAGCATCGACGCAGCTGCTGGGACAATGAACTGTCAACCCAATTTGGGAATTGAAAATGTTGAATGAAAAATTATTTAAATTTGTAAAAATTGTTGAAAAATGCATATTATAATAACCTCAGAATGACGCCGTATAAGAAATAATGTAAAAATCTACTTATATTTGAAAAGAAATTTAAAAATTTTTGACATATCAATGCTCCTAAGCGTTGATGCATCTACCTGTATTTTTCTACCATGGATTTAAGCTAAAATCGAGGCTTCGGCTTGCAAATACAACAGTGTCTCCACATGTAGCTGACAACAGTATTGAAATTTCTCGTTTCCTTCAGCCACAAATGGCAACAGTGTTGTATTTGCAAGGCGAAGTCTCGATTTTAAGCTTTGATCTGTTTCACCCGTTATTTTTGGTATTTCGACAATTTATCATCCTACTGCACCGTATTTTGTTACCGAGGGTAAGGTTGTTCACAAATCACACTAAAAGCATGTTTACACATACAAAATCTTGAAAATGTCAGCTATCAATGTATGATTAATTACCATTTCGATTTGCTCATTTGTTTATTTTAAACTAAAATAAAGATGCCACTGTGAAACAAATGCAGTGACTACCAGTTACATTTACAAAAAGCTTGCCATACATCCGAAAAAATGCATATATTTTAACGAAAAGTAATCATGAAAACCCGATAGTGTGAACTTTATCCTTCACTTTTCCTAAAGTAAGGCAAAGACAAAGGAAAGATGTAGGACAATTTGTTAAACTCTCATACTGTAATTTCAATAAAAATAATGTAATTTGACAGCTTGTCTGGTGAACAGCTGTGATAAATAGAATGGAATTTATTGTGACAAGCATGGTTATGGCCTGAAATTGTTGAATGAAAAATTATTCAAATTTGTAAAAATTGTTAAAAAATGCATAACATACCTCCGATTGGCGTCGTATAGAAAAACAAACAAATCTACTTATTTTTTAAGCGTTTAAGCGTTGATGTATCTACCCGTATTCTTCTACCATGATTTTACGTAATGGATATGCCACTGAAATCCACTTGATTTCGTATGTGTAAACATAATAAAAATGTCAAAATTATTCTATTGTTTTATTAATTTTTTTAGTTTCGGAATTAGCTTTCAATCAAAGCTGTTAAAGGGAACTCTCTCTCTCTCTCAAATTTTACAGTAAACTATTAACAGATGGTACTTGGTGGGTCAATTATTCTATTTGTTATAAGGGGCGTTTCTTATATTTACAAGGGATATTGGAAATGTCACAGACTTATCGATCTGCCCCCTCTAGTGTTTATGTATATTTAAGAGCACGTTAAGACTACTAAATCCACCCGATTTCAAATGTCATTTCTATAGCGTATGCCTCACGTTAAACGTATTCATAAATCCAGCGGAATTTTTAAGGTTAGAATACATAAAACGCTTTTTTGACTGACATAAGCCATCGGCTGGCTTCCTTGTAGAGGAACAAAGGAGTTTTAGGTTGAGCTAGTTCGATTTTGACCCTACGCTCCTTTGATATATTCCGAAGAAGCCAGCCAAAAAACATTTTATGTATTCTCACCTTTAAAAAAGCTTAACTAAACCAAATACATTGAGTGCATCACAAAGAAAACAAATATATAGCTTTAAGCTTTTTGGACAATGTTCCTATGAAACACAAAGCTAGACTTACACTATACATAGAGCCTTTAATCGTTTCATTGAAAGCTTGAGCACAACATTGAATGGGATGGCGAAGCTTTTGAATATCAGAAAATGGCATTCAATACATTTCTAGGACAGTTCTTGTTGTACTCAAAAATTCAAATATTATCTTTACTTTAATGCCTTTATTTCAGATTCTTTTGATCCAATGATTGGAGAGATTCATTTCTTTTTTTACCAAAAAGATTGGCTAATGATAATAGGATGAAGGAGAACTGGTTATCTCCGCTTTTTTTAACAGCTAAGTTTAATAAATTCTACAGTTAATGTTACTTATGCAGGTAGATAGGTATGCTGGTATTTAATTGTAGTTGGTTTTGTTTTGGTTGTAGGTAGTTATGCATGTCATCCATATCCAGTTTGTGGTTACAATGTAATAGTAATTTGTCAGGTTTTGCTCTATGGGAAGCGACTTAGTAAGTAGTTATGAATTGAGGCCTGCAGTATTGTTGGGTCATATGTGTCAATTTCAAGGATATGATTTCTATAACCGCGTTTAATTTACTTTTGTGTCCACAAAACAAGTGGCAACACTGCTTTGAAAAAATGCAATAAAAAGGAATTATCGAATGTTGCCACATGTTTTAAGTTTAGTTGATTAAATTGATCTTCATGAAACGTTTTTGTTGTGCTTTCCCGGGTTTTTGTAATCTTTTCTTGTTCTACATACTTATGCATGTGCAGTGGCATTGCCTTGATGTATGCAGCACCACTCCTGCTCAAATGATATCTAGATATAGAGAGTAATGAGACCAGTAGTTCGAATACTTTAACATTTTGTTTTCATTCTTTGCCTTCTGCCGCCTTATCGTTCTGTCTTCCGTTACCTTATGGCAGGCGTAAATCTCTACTTTGTGACGACGAAGATGGCATTTCATCGGGACTGGGTGAATCATCGCCGCCATGTGGACGTATACGAACAACAGCACGTCTTGTATCTTCATTACGCTGTGGCATATAAAGGCCAGACGGTCCCGAATAGCACGTGGTATTATTTCCCGATAAGCGTAGTTTCTCTGTTTCGCCCAGTGTACTTTCGGTGAATAGTTGACCCAAGTTCAACTGTGGAATATCGTAAAAGATTGTAAGAACCAGCATCATGGCAATGAGACCTGTAAGGAAAAATTAAAAAGTTTTGTTACTAAAATTCTGGGAATTATGAAAATATCTGTTGCGTCATCTATAATTGGGAGAGACTTTAAGACTTTACGAAGAAGTGTCATTTATTTGATGAACAGGGCGAGTTGAAAAAATTGCAACCAACTTCAGATTGCTGTCATTTCTAAGCCACTCGCCCGAGAGCTGTTAAAATTATTCCATTGACAGCTCATTAAATTGTTTACAAGCGTAAAAAAGCATTTTGTTGAGAATTTTCCAGAAAAAAAAGTTATTCGTGATGGAATTAAAGCGTGATAGTGTGATTTCTTTATATTTGGCTGGAAAACGACAAGTGGCCATCGTTAGAGCACTCCAGCATTTAAATGTGAATAAATCTTTTGTGTCTCGTACCACCGCTCGTTACCGTGATACTGGTAGCGTAGCCCGACGTTAAGGAAGTGGAAGGAAGAAAACAGCAATATCAGCAGAAATGGTTCGAAAAGTAAAGCAGCGACTTGATCGAAATCTTCGTCGCAGTGACCGAAAAATGGCTCGTGAGCTGAACATATCGCAAGAACTTACACGGCCACGGAAAGAAAATATACTCAGAAGAGCTAAAGAGTTGTTTTACTTGGCCGAAATTGGTGAACTGCCGAATTTGGTTTTCTCCGATGAGAAAACATTCGTTGTCCAGCAGTTTGTAAACAAACAAAATGATCCTGTTTTCTTGCGAAAGAGTTCAGCTGAAAATGTGCACCTTCGGATGGCCACCAGAACTCAAGCGCCGGTCATGGTGATGGTGTGGGCCGCCATAACAGCCGATGGTCGCTCTCCACTCGTATAAATCGATTGTGGCATCAGAATTAATGCCGAATATTATCGCAAAAATATTCTTAAGGGTGTATTAAAGCCTTGGGCACGCACCAACAGGACTCAAGGGCTAAGTACATAAGAAGCTTGAAGTCATGGCTAGGCATATTAATGTCAAATTATAATGTCAAATTGTGAAATGTCACAAAATACGCCTAGCCATGACTTCTAGCTTCTTATGTACTTAGCCCTTCAGCGCCATCGCACTCAGCACGCGCCACCCAAGAATGGTCACATAATGAGGCTGCTCGCTTCATTTCCAGCGCACAATGACCACCAAAATCTCCGGATACTAATTCATTGGACTATTGTGTCTGGAGTATTTTGGAAAGCAAAGTTGGCACTAAAAAGTACCAAAGTGTCGATCACGTCAAGCAAGCGCTTCGCCGAGAATGGGCCAAAATACCCAATAGAGAAACATGTGGGCAGCGTGTGACGGTTTCATTGACCATTTTTCGTGCCAAAGGTGACCAATTCGAACAAATCTAAAATTATTCTAAAATTTGATGATATTTCCGACATTTTTTGTTTTCATTCAATAAAATTTAAAAAAAAGAAATGTATAAATTATGGCGTTTGACTTTGTTGCAGTTTTTTATCTCACCCTGTATATATAGAACGTAGAATATTTTTGTATCCTCAACCATAAAATACAGGTAGTCGCATCGACACAGCTGCTGGGACAATGAACTGTCAAATTTATTTTGAAATTTAAAAATTTGAAAGCAAAATTATTCAAATTTTAAAAAATTCTTAAAAAATACAAATGATAACAACCTCTGATTGGGGTCGGATAGAAAAAAATATAAATATACGTATTTTTGAAAAAAAAAAAAAAAAAAAATCAATGTTCCCAAGCGTTGATGCATCTACCTATATTCTTTTACCATGCTATGGAGGGTTTACTAACATTGTCATTTCGTTTTTAACTCCTTGAAATTCTAAGTCGATTTAGCGATGTCTGCGCATCTGTCTGTCTGCCTGTTATAATCACGCTTTCGAACGAATGCAGATAGAAGGCGAATATTTTGTACACGTGTTTATTTTGTCAGTGAGCAGGTTAAGTTCGTAAATGGGCCATGTCGGTCCACGCTTTCATATAGCCCCATATCATGGTATCCCCCAAAATTCGGAATTTTGATTACTTTAGCAACATTATTCGCGGGAATTGATTCAAATTTCGTGCTTGAAGGTCTTGATGGAAAATACAGCCTATATCAAAAAATTGTCTATGCAGATTCACGTCTTCGAATAGCCCCCATATAACGGTACCTCCCGATATTCGATATTTTGATGATTTTAGCGACATTATTTCCCGCAATTGTTTCAAATTTGGTATTTGAAGTTCGTAATAGATACTACAGCCTATGACAGACGGTTCCTCCCTATATACGATATTTTAAAGATTTTAGCTACATTATGCACCATTTATTTCAAGTTTCGAATTTGAATGTGGTAATGACTTATGGCAAACAATGCCTATGTAGGTCCACATCGTATAGACACCAACATAACGGCAATACTCGGTATTTTTAAAATTTTAATAGAATTTTTTAAGGATTTTATTTTTTGAAAATTTCCAAAATCGTTCCAAACGGTGGAGGGTATTCAAAGTCTGGCCCGGCCGAACTTACTGCTTTGTAACTTGTTTTGTTTATCATGCATACTTTCGGAAAAATGCACAAAGCCACAACGCACAGTATCACAGTTTGGGGTAGGGTATAAATGTGTTAATAAACCGCATGTGTATAATATGGATCTTGGCCTGAATAGAATTCCGAATATTTCATTTCTTATTTTGACAATTGGGTCTTTGCACTTTGGAATAAAAGAAAATTGATTTCGTGAACAAATGTGTCATCATTTCTGTTTTGACTGCAGTTATCTTTGCTAAACATTGTTTTTCTGAAATGTTTTATTTCAAATATTCGACGTATTGAATATGAAATGGTTGATTGACTTTATGACTGTCTGGTTGAATAATTTATTTTTCCAACAAAAAAAAAATAAATAAATAAAAATAAAAAAAAAAATAAATAAATGAAAGTAGAATCCTGAAAATTTACACTACGGTTCAGTGTTGGTGTGATCTAGTCGAAGTGACTTACCTAAGTCTAAGAGTTAAAAAAAATCCTTTGGCAAGATTATGTCAGTTCTGGGGTCAATAGTCCAGTACGTCAGAAACTTTAATTTTACCCTCCTATGGCATAATTATGTCAGGTCTGGGATCATTATTCCAATACGTCAGTAACTTTAATTTTACCCTTGCCCGATTTTACCCTCCAAAGACCAAGCTGTGTGTCACGTTCTCTGCGATTATCAGTGTAAATTTTTGTTTGTATTTTCCTATCTCGCATGCAACAAATACAAATACACTTACCCAATACTAAATAGGCGGTTATTAACATTTTATACAAAGAACGATTATCTATGGACACGCCATCACCGGGTATATAATCTCCTAGGCCAATTGTTGTCAACGATATAAAGCAGTAGTAGAAAGCATCCAATATGCCCCATGTGGGTTCCAAATAACTGAAAACAGCAGTTGGTATGGCGAAGAATAAAATTATAACAATTATCACTGAAATGGTAGGAGAGGTAAAAGATGGTGGTGGTAAATAACAAAATTCGTTAATAGCTGGTGAGCATATATATATGTACATTAGGGTGGTTCAAATTATTCCTAAAAATAGTGAAAAAGTTGTATTACAATAACTATTATAAGGAAAGGAATGGTAATATAAAAATATAAGGAAAATTCGGGCTCTCTCTCTCCCTCTCTTTTGACTTTCCTCTTCCATTTATAGAAGTCACTTTATCTTGCGATTTTCGTTTTTCATAATTGTGTTTTATGTCAAGGTTATTTATATTTTTGTGATAAATCGTAAAATCATCAGTACAAGCAATTTTTTACTTTTCCATTCTCCTTACGTCTTTCTCTCTCTCCCTCTCTCGGAAATCGTCGGAAAATCATCAGTACAAGCATTTTTTTAACTTTTCCATTTCCCTTACGTTTCTCTCTCTCTCTCTCTTACAAACAGTAAATTTACTCACTATAAATTCTACCTACATTTGGATTTATGATTTTTGTTCAACATTTCTTACAATTCTTCTTAGCTAAGCATTTTCACAAATTTCCTAAATAGATTTTTTTCACTTCACCAACTCGAACCACCCTAATGTCCATGTCCCTCCAACTCACCGATTATGGTCAAGTGCATAACACGAATATTGAACGGTTGATACAAATGACCTAATCTCGAATTCAGCTTTCCCAACAGCCAATTAGCCGGTATTAGTAATTTCTCCACCATGGCGCTCAGCAGGACCAACGTCAGTGGTATACCAATGGCAGCATAAATCATGCAGAATATTTTGCCCGTTTGACTGAGTGGTGTTACATGGCCATAACCTGTAAAAAAATAAAGAAAACAATAATTATTTAAAAACTATAGCTTTTTTAAATGGATTACTTACCAATTGTCGTAATGACCGTGCTGGAAAAGAATAAGGCCTGGCCAAAGCTCCAATTCATTTCATTTGTGGCATTGCGCAGCGGCGAAATGCCGCGATCATTGGCCGTAATAACAGCCTTAAGGAATTCCTCCAAATCGTCATCTGCAAAGAAGGAAAATATGTATATCAATAGAGATACTAAAAGTAAAAAAAATTAGATATATAGCTAAATGTGGTCCATTGTAACTCAATATGGCACAAGAGTTTTTAGCAGGACTGCAGGGACGGAGGCGAACGCTATGAATCGAAATAGGACAGTTTCAATAAAATGCTTATTATTTATTAAGGTGGGGATACATAAAGCGCTTATGTGGCTGGCTTTAGTCATCGGCCGGCTTCTTCGGAAATGAACAACGGAGCCTAGGGCGAAAATCGAACTAAGTCAACCTAAAACTCTTAAGACTTAAGCCAGCAAAATATGTCCGTTATGTATTTCCACCCTTAGTTTTCCATTTTCTTAAATCTGTTTAAAACAACAGCTAATATCCAACAAAGAATTAGGCAACGTGGGCAATTGTTTGTATCAAACATAAATCAGATGTGAAATAAAAAAATATTGGAGGAATCTTTCTGGACCTCACATTGATTTTTTTAATATTCATTACACTCTAATTATGTGAAATCACTTCAAACTAAGTTCATATAAAGAGTGATTTTTACCACTTATCTTTTTGGCAACACTAGTCTAAGCAGTTCACGCTGGTTTCATTTTTGGTTTCTCTGTCAAACATCTCAGTTTGGTCTATAATATAACTATTGCAAAACGAAAACGCATTCAATTTCATTAAATTTTATTAACAAAATGCGTGATAAGATAAGTAAATTCATCGAGAGTTTGTTCCAGTTTCATTTTTGGCTCGATGATTACGCTTCCAAAAGAACTAGCAGAATAATAGATTTTGGAGTGAAAATAAACCAGAAACATTGCAAAAGGTACCAATCAGACCTGCAAAAAACCTGCTCGAATTTGAGCGGGAGCAGTCCTGTGTGTGTTAAAAATACAAAACGAGCAAAACTCTATTTACGGTTTCGCTCATATAAGAGCAAACTTGAATTGTTCGTTTTAAAGTGCGAGCAAAATTCGATTTTATTTCTATGTATGTGTTTATGTCCGGAAAAAGTGTTGAATTTGTCGAAAATAAAAAAGGAATTTACTTTCTTAAATACTATTCAACTCATACATCTAAATTTATTCTGAGTTTTCTATTTAAAATTTGTGCAGAATATTTTTTTTGACACCCATTTCCTAAAACGAAATTTTATACTAGAAAGGAGGGTATATTTACGGAATTGTCTCTTCTCCGAAAATGATAATATCCAAAAAAAAAAAAAACGCGTAAAAATGTTATATATTAAAATGTTCATTTTGACTTTTCAAATGTACAATAGTAATGTTTTATTTTGCATGATTTTTTCTAATTTTGACTTACTTTTTTCTAATGTACATTTGTAGTGTTTTTATATTTTTTTTTGAATTCGAATACTAATACCAATTTATTTAATTGACTTGATTTCTTGAGAACTGAAATTGATGGCAGGTTAAATGGAAGTGTAGTACCGAATTATGTGGTGGCGAAACGGAATAGATGATATCGAAATAATTTAACGCGGTCACACCAAAGTTAAAAGATAATTATTTTTTTTTTTTAGAAATCGATAAAAAATTTTGAAAAAAATGTCATTGCAAAAATTTTCAAATCGGGAAAAAATCGAAAAAAGAAATGCAATGGAATCTAATTTTAAAATAGTAGTACATTCTATTGACAAACTTTGTAAGGATCATTAAACATTTGCTGTAAAAAATTAGCGAACAAGTTGAAGATTGAAGTTGAAGATCTGCTTTTGTCAATTTTTCAAAAATAAATACGATGTTAACTGACATCTACCTTTCAACTCCAGGGCCTGCATCGTAGTTCAGCTGGAAGATGCGAACACATTTAAACAAACAAAAATGAACGAAAAAGCCTATTGGGGCTCATTTCAATAATCCGTCCAATGAGAGCTCGAAATGCAAAATACTTTGGGAGTAAAATCAGTTAGGGGGGTGGAGAACCTCTTCGGCCCTTATTTGGCATTTTTGTTTCTAAGGGTGTGGAGAACCTCTTCTTTGGCAACGGGATGTACATCTATATGAAATAAATTATGAAAACATGAATAAATTACAAATATAAGAAAGTAGCACTGGACCGAATATTTGTTGAATCGTCATTGAATTATACTATGATGAAAAATATGGATTTTATGGGGTCTCCAAATTACAATTTAAATGGCAAGTAAAATTAATTCCCATCTTACGGTAATGGTGTAAAATAGTAATTATATTTGACTATTCTGAAATCATTCTGCCCTCAATTATGAGGTGGATAAAACCATTTTTACTTATATAAATCACGCGATTTTTTTCGGTTTGACATGCTATGTTGTTCTGCTACATTTTTTGGATTTGGCCTCTATTTGTCATCTTGGATTATAAGGGGTAGAAGAAAGTTTTCAATGTAGGTCGATGTTTAGGAGTAGTGCCCATAGAAAGGTACCGTCTAATTTGACCACATTTCAAAGGTTGAAAATTTTATACAAAAATTTCAACATATCTACAAATTTATGCATAATAGAAAAAAACTACGGGCCGGCAACGCGGACCGGGCCAGCTAGTATATATATATATATATATATATATATATATATATATATATATATATTCATAATCAGCATAAAATTCTAAGACGATTTAACGATGTCCGTCTGACGTAGAGCGCCAAAATTTAACAGAATAATTAGTATTATGTCTAGGATGGTTGGTATTGAAAATGAAATGATATATCGGTCCACGTTTTGGTATAGTCCCCATATAAGGGTACATCCCGATATTCGGTATTTTAATGATTTTTGCCACATTTTTTCATGGATTTGTCTAAAAATTGGTATTTGTTGGTCATAATTGGTTCTAGTGTTACAGGTAGCTTTACTGAATATGAATAGTGGTGTACGGTATGACTGACCTTTCATAACTGTCTTTGGCTCAACTTTTATAATCTAACGGAGTTTTATACCCTCCACCATAGTATGGAGGGTATATTAAGTTTTTCATTCCGTTTGTAACACCTCGAAATATACATTTAAGACCCAACAAAGTATATATTCTTGATCAGCATAAAACTCATGTCGATTTAGCAATGCCCGTCCGTCTGTGGAAATCACTCTAGCTTCCGAACGAAATGAAGTAGGTTGATAAAATTTTACTCAAATGTGTATTATGTCTGCAGGACTTTTGGTATTGAAAATGGGCCATTTAGGTCCACGTCTTTGTATAGCCCCCATATAACGGTACCTCCCGATATTCGGTATTTTGATGATTTTAGCGACATTATTTACCGGAATTATTTCAAATTTCGCATTTGAAGTTCGTAATGGATACTACAACCTATGACAGAAAATTGTCTGTGCAGGTCCACGTGTTCGTATAGCCCCATATAACGGAACCCCCGATATTCGGTATTTTGATGATTTTAGCGATATTATTTACCGGACTTATTTCAAATTGTGTATTTGAAGTTCGTAATGGATACTACAGCTTATACTATACTACGGATTTTATTTTTTTGAAAATTGCCAAATTTGTACCAAATGGTGGAGGGTATTCAAAGTTCGGCCCGGCCGAACTTACAGCTTTTTTACTTGTTTTCTATAATTTGTGAAAAGAAAAAAACAAATGGCACACAATATTTCACTATTTCTGCCACTATTTGATCCGAAGTTCCAATATTAGAGCTGGTGTTGAGTCGGTATATATCAGTTAATTTTTTTTTACAATACCTCCGCGAAAATGTCTTCCATTTTGAAAAATTATGAAATATATTAAACAAGAAATTAGATGAACTGGATAATGGATGGTCCAATAGTTGAACATTTTATTTATTCGGTAAAATATTGACCATTGCTATAATTTTAAGAATATTTTAAAAATAATTAATTTGTCAAAAATTGTTAAATATATGAAAACAATTTCAACAATCTTCTATATTGCCAAAACATGCTATTTTGGATGGATTTGTCAAAAAAAAACTTCCTTACAAATAAGGAGTATAATGAAATTTAATTTTAATTTAAATATAGAACAATATATCTTTCCCAATAAAAGGTGACATTTTAGGGTATATTAAGTTTGTCATTCTGTTTGTAACTCATCGAAATAATAATTTTAGACATAACAAGGTATATATTCTTGATCAGCGTAAAATTCTAGGACGATTTAGCCAGATCCGTTCATCTGTCTGATGTAATCACGCTAGAGTCAAAACAAATAAAGATAGAAAGCTATAATTTTGCACAGATCAGGCAGGCAAGTCAAGTTCGGTCCACGATGGCATATATACCCCATATAACGGTACCCCTGATATTCGGTATTTTTATGATTGTCTGAAATTCCACAAAAGGAGTTCCTTCTGAGTAATTTACCGCCTGGAAAAGTATTGTCAATGTAGGTCCACCCTATATTCGGTATTTTGATGAATTTAGCTACAATTTTCAATGGAATTGTTTAAAAATCCATTGAAAATTGTAGCTAGAATTGTTTACTAGATGTTCTTTCCAATCACTTTACCTCCTGGAAAAGAAATGTCTAAATTGACCCACATACAATTGTACATCCCGAAATTCGACATTTTGACAATTTTAGGGACATTATTCACCGGAGTTTGTAATTGGAACTACAGTCTAAGACAGGTCTTCGCATAGGCTCCATACATCAGTACCACCCTTTATTCGGTATTATGATGATTTTAGGTAAAATATTCACCGAAATTGTTTCGAATATCGTATTTAAAGTTCCTTATAAGTACTACAGCCTGTGACAGAAAATGTTCTATGCAGGTCCAGGTTTTCGTATAGTATCGATATAACGGTACCTCCCTATATTTGCTATTTTGATAATTTTAGCTACCTTATTCATAGGATTTTTTTTTTTAATTTTAATATTTGAATATTGTCAAAGCTTATGTTTTACGGCCGAACTCACTGCTTTTTTATTTGTAAAAAAACTTTTTAATGGTCTAATTTTTGCGTATCTAAATATCTTTGTCAACCTTCGATCCAAAATATTTTTTTAATATATTAAAAAGGATTTTCTGGTTAAAAAAACGACGACATGGACCTGCATAGGTAGGTTATAAGCCATTACAATATTTAAATGCGAAACTTAGAAAAAAATCGGGGAATATTGTAGCTACAGTCATCAAAATACCGATTATCGGGAGGCACCGTTATATGGGGGCTATACGAAGGCGTGGACCTGCACAAACAATTTTCTGTCTTAGGATTTAGTATTCATTGCGAACTTCAAATACCAAATTTGAAACAATTCCGGTGAATAATGTCGCTAAAATGATCAAAATACCGAATATCGGGAGGGACTTTTATATGGGGGCTATACGAAGGCGTGGACCTGCACAAACAATTTTCTGTCTTAGGCTGTAGTATCCATTATGAACTTCAAATAGCAAATTCGAAACAATTCCGGTGAATAACGTTGCTAAAATCATCAAAATACCGAATATCGGGAGGTACCGTTATATCCCCCATATACGAAGACGTGGATCTGTATAGACAATTTTCTTCCTTAGGCTGTAGTATTCATTACGAACTTTAAACAAAAAAATTAAAACAATTCCGGTGAATAATGTCGCTAAAATCATCAAAATACCGCATATAGGGAGGCACCGTTATATGGGGGCTATACGAAGACGTGGACCTGCACAGACAATTTTCTGCCTCAGGCTGTAGTATCCATTTCGAACTTCAAATGCAAAATTTGAAACGATTCCGGGGGCTATATGATAACGTGGACCTACATGGGCCATTTACGAACTTAACCTGCCTACTGGCAAAATATACATGTAAGCAAAATTTTAGACTTCTATCTCAATTCGTTTGAAAGATAGCGTGACTACAACAGACAGACGGACAGACAGACACACAGACGGACATGGCTAAATTGTCTTATAATTTTACGTTGATCAAGAATATATATACTTTGTTGGGTCTGACATGAGTATTTCGAGGAGTTACAAACGGAATGACAAAATTAATATACCCTCCATAGTATGGTGGAGGGTATAAAACATGGATGGATTTTGTTTATTCAAGGACTTGATTCCCAAAACTCGTGAAGTTTTTAAGAAGTTCTGTTAAAGATTTCATGTCAAAAAGATTTAAGTTGTTTAAGAACTTTCTGCCAAAAAAATTGGATTTTTTGTGAAAACATTTTTTTCCAATGACTTCCTTAAAACATTTCGCAATGTTTATAAATGATTATATATTGATTACATGTATCTATCAGCGGATCGACTAATTCTTCTAGATTGTTTGTAAACGGAACAAAGTTGATAATTATGTTAACTCAGAATTTCAAAATTATAGCTTGAATTTGGTCAGCCAGGGCTTCTATTGTATTTATATGCGCGTCAACTTTTATTGTTTCAAATCGTATTGTGGAATCGTAGAAAATATTTTTATGGCTTAAATTTCCCCTCAAGAGCAGGAATTCAAAGAAAGACAAACAGTCGAATAGGCATAATTTGAAAACAGACGAATAAACATAAGTTGACAGTGTGTTCTGATCCAGAAGAAAAAAAAAATAAATAAAAATTATATCTCCCTCTCTTACCCTTAACTTGTGTATATTTCTGTAAAAAACTATTTCGCAGGGCTGTAATGGCTGAACGTTCCTTCAACTCCATAGGATATTCTATGTGACGAAATAGCACGGCACCGAGGGCCAAGAAACCGATATAAAATAATACGAATGTCATAAACAGAAGACGTTCTTTGCGATATTTCGGTGGGCAACACTCGATCGTTGAACCGGGCACGAGATGTGCCGTTGTACCGTCATCCGATTCTTGATAGGTGGAACGTATCAGACATATCGAACCGATACTGACACCGTTATTTAAACTTATATTAGATTTTTTTCGAACGCAATTGTGTGGTGTTCGCAACGATGAGGTGGATTTTTTATAAATACTAGGATCAGACATGGAAATTAGACGACCAATTGGGGCGGACGATGGTGTTTCATTTGTTATTATCGTTGATGCGGGATGGCCATTGTCGAAGCCTTCCAAATTATCATAGCCTTCTTTGAGCGGCATTTTATTTTTTTGTATTTGATTTGTTTTATTTTTCTTTTTTTTTTTTGTTTAAATATTTTTTGTTTTGTTTCAATATTTTTGCACAATCAACAATTTATTTATATATGTGTAGCATATATATTTTTTTGAATTCTTTCTTAAAATGTGGTTTCACTGTCATAAATACACCCGTCCATGTCCAAGATCAGACTAAAATGTGAATTCAAATTTTTTAGCTTCTCTGTTATCTGTTGTTGTTTATTCATTCGCTGCATTTGTGGGGTTCTTTCTAGGTTTTTTTTTATTACGTTACTGTATTATCTCATATTTCGTTTTCGTTGGCGTTTTTGTTTTGTCATTTTCAGTTATGTCTGCTGAAGAGTATCAGTCAGCTAGTTGTCCAGTATATGGGGGTTGCCGTTTAGAGATTTTTTTTTCAAGAAAGTGGTCGGAATTTATTGTGATAATTTTTTTGGAGTTTTTAAAGATAAAAGCCATATTAGAGATATTCTATAAATGGAAAAGCTTCATCTATAGATAGCCTAAACAATACCTTTTACAGGTCTTCTATCCAAAAAGACCTTTATATGTCTTTGAAGGCCTTTAAATTACCTCTTTTAACAGAAGATATTTACAGGCCTTTTATAGGCCATAATCTTACCGAAGGCCTTTTTGAGGTTCTCTATAAGCAAAATACCGTTTGTGGGTCCTTCTACAGAGAGAAGACCTTATAGAGGTCTTCTTTAAAAAAAGAAAAGCCTCTGCATGGGAGTTTTCTATCAGGTCCACTATAGACAGAAGATCATTAATAGATCTTCCACAGCCATTAAATCATTTACAGGCCTTCTACAGTCATTTAACCTACTACAGTTTTTTTATAGACAGATAATTTATTACAGGTTCTCCGTAGATAAAACAACGTCTTCTTCTCTATTCTATAGACAGAAGGCCTTATAGAGGGCCTCTGAAGACAGAAGATCGTTTACAGGTCTTTCATAGATAGGAGACTTTTTTCAGGTCCACTATAGACAGAAGATCATTAATAAGTCTTCTTCAGATATTAAGCCATTTACAGATCTTTTTCAGACATTAAACCTTCTACGGTTCTTCTAAAGGGAGAAGATCTATTACTGGTCCTATGTAGAAAGAAGACCATTTCTGTAGACAGAAGACCTTTTATAGGTCTTCTATAGATATGAGACTCTTTTCAGATCCTCTATAGACAGAAGATCATTATCTAATCTTCTAAATCTTCATTAAATCACTTACAGATCTTCTACAGACATTAACATTAAACGTTTTACAGGGTTTCTACAGACAAATGATTTATTACAGAAGGTCGTTCAGATGTTTTCTATAGATAGCAACCTTTTTTCAGGTCCTCTATAGAAAGAAGATCATTAACAGATCTTCTACAGCCTTTTATAGGTCTTCTATAAACAAAACCCCCTTTCTGCAGACTAAAGACCTTTTACAGGACTTCTATGGACAAAACAGATCTTCTATTGATATGCCACCTTGATATGTCATCTTCAGATATAATACCTCTCCTAGGTCTTCTACAGACAGAAAACATCTTACACAAATTTTATAGACAGAAACCCTTTTACAGGTGCTCCTAAGACAGAAGATCATAAAGTTCAAGTTTTTCCTTTTTTCGGTAGTTTATCGAGGATGATATTAGCAAGATTATTGAACAATGACCCACATCCAATGTTGCTGTCCGAAATTATGTCAAAATCTCCATAAATAAGCCGTAGAAACCAACAGTGGCTTCTATATGAAATTTCAGAATTTGTGATGTATCTCTTCAGCCAATACAAAATTTTGTAACATTTAGTACGCATATCTAAAATCCTGTTTAATATGCGTTTCTCCAACCTAGATACCAACAGTGATACAAAATTAGTAGCATTTAGTACTTTTCGAACAATTATAGTATGCAGTTGAGACCAACAGAGACTTGTATATCAAATTTCAGATTTTTGACATCTGTTTCAAATTTTCACTCAATACCACATTTAGGTACTATTTGGTACTTTTCATACAATTATAGTACACATATCCAAAACCATCTCCATGCCTCAATTCCAGATACCAACAGAGCCCTCAATATCAAATTTGAGGATCCCAGGCCTATTCCTTCCCCCGATACCAAATTAAGTATCATTTGGTACTTTTAGTACAATTTTAGTACTGATTTTCGAAAACGTTCCATATCTCAATCCTATACAACATAAGTTATCGCAATATAAAATTCCTCGGTTTCAGCTCTATCCCTTCACCCAATATCTAATTTAATACCATTTAGTACTTTTCGTACAAATACTGGACACATTTCCAAAGCAGCCTCCATATCTTAACCAAGAACACCAACTGTGATATCTATAAAAAAAATTTCAGGATTTCAGTTGTACTCCTTCGCCCAATACCAAATTTAGGTACTTTTTAGTACTTTTCTTACAATTATAGTACACATTTACAAAACCATCTCCATATCTCTCTTTCCTGATACCAACAGAGACCTAAATATCACATTTCAGGATTCCAGCTCTTACATTCACCCAACATAAAATTTAGTACCATTTAGTACTTTCGTACTAATAAAGGACGCATTTTCAAATCTCCGCCAAATCTCAAACACAGATACCACCGGTAATCGAAATATCAAATTTCAGAACTTTATCTCTTTTCTTTACATAATACCAAGTATAGTACCATTCAGTACTTTTCGTACAATAGTAGTACACATTTCCGAAACTACCTCCATATGTCAACGCTACACATATGGAAAAAAATTAGGGCAAATATTGTACTATTTAGTACATTTTGTGCACTTGCAGTACCCATTTCCAAAAACACCTCTGTATCACGAACCTATCCCAAAAAGGGACCCCGATACAAAATTTTAAAATACCTGCTTTATCCGTTCACCCCAAAAAAAAGTTACAAATTTGGTACCATTTGGTACAGTTCGCAAACTTGGTACACATTTCAAAAGCTACCTTCATATATTAAATATACTTTCCAACCTTGATTCTCATACCAAATTTCAAGTTTTCGTTTACGTAATACCAAAAGGTACCATTTTAGAGGTTTAGTACCATTTTAGAACTTTTCGTTATCTAAAGATGGAATTTCCAAAAACCTATTGGTACATTTATCCTGGAAACCATCAGTGACTTTCATTTCTAAATTTCTAGTTCATTCCGTTTGTCCAATACAAAGTTTCCAATTTTTAATGCATTTTAGTATTTTCTGTACCGTTTTAGTACGAATTTCATATCACACGTCTATACGCCACGACTGACCCTCGTGCAAAGTTTCAATATTCTAGGTTCAGTCGTTTCGTCTGGGCATTGATTCTCAGTCAGTTATTTCACCACTCTTTTATATGTATGGCAAAATTATAGACCAAGCTAAAGACATTTGAAACAAACCACGAACCCTGGTGTATAGGGAGGTACTGTTATATAGGGGCTATAGGAAGGCGTGGACCTTCACAGACAATTTTCTGTCATAGGCTGTAGTATCCATTACGAACTTCAAATACCAAATTTGAAACAATTCCGGTGAATAATGCCGCTTAAATCAACAAAATATCGAAAATAGGGAGGTTACATTATATGGGACCTATATCAAAACGTAGACCTACATGGCCCATTTTTAGTACCAAGAGTCCCGCAGACATAATATACATTTGAGTAACATTTTATCAACCTACTTCATTTCGTTCGGAAGCTAGAGTGATTTCCCCAGACGGACGAACATCGCTAAATCGACATAGAATTTCATGCTGATCAAGAATATATATATACTTTGTGGTACATTTCGAGGTGTTACAAATGGAATGACAAACTTAATATTCCCTCCATACTATTGTGGAGGGTATAAAAATCACCCTTTATAATACTCTTTGCTATAAAGCCCAAACACTTTAAAACTTTAAAAACCCCCAATGGCAACCCTGGCCACCCCATCACCGCCAATCTTGGGATTGCTTACAAAAAAATTCTCAGAATATATGCTTCGGAAGCAAAGAATGAATCTGATTGTGCAGCATTTGCTCATATTGCTTATTGTTATTGCTATTGCCATTGTTGTTGTGTTTATTGTTTACATAAATAAAAAAAAAAACAAATCAGCTATTTATCCCGCTTAGACATGCGACTAATTAAGTAACGTTTACAATTTCGTCAAACATGAACGGCGGACACAAACCAAGATGGGGGTCCATTCAATTCAATTGCATGGGCATCCTAAAGATTATGAATTACACTAACTTTTGTGTACTTTTTAGTAGATATCCGTACATACAGACATTCGTATTTACAAATCCGCTGCGATCTTTTCTTCAGTTTGAAATTCGACTGATAAGCATTAGTAAAAAAAAGAGATAAGCGTGTACACAAATGAGCAAATACAATTTACATTCCCACAAAAAACAAACAAACACATATCTTAAGCAATAATAAAAAACAGAAACTGCTGAATTTGGTTTTCTTCGATGAGAAAACATTCGTTGTCCAGCAGTTTGTAAACAAACAAAATGATCGTGTTTACTTTCCAAAGAGGTCAGCTGAAAATGTGCACCTTCGGTTGGCCACCAGAACTCAAGCGCCGGCCATGGCGATGGCGTGGTCCGCCATAACAGCCGATGGTCGCTCTCCGCTCGTATTAATCGACCATGGCATCAGAATAAATGCCGAATATTATCGCGAAAATATTCTGCAGGGGTGTATTTAAGCCTTGTGCACACAAACATTTTGGCCGCAGACCTTGGATATTCCAACAGGACTCAGCACCATCGCACTCAGCACGCGAGTTACCTACAGCCACCAATAAACAACATTATTATTAAGTTCATTATTTTCAACCACAACCTCATTTATTAAAAACATCATTATTGTTAACACCATTATTATTAACATCATTATTATTAACATCATTATTATTAATATCATTATTATTAACATCATTATTAGTTACAACATTGTCATAAGCACCAAAGAGCTAACACCAATATTGTTGACATTATTTCGTCAGCAATAATTCTCCACTTCAACATCACAATAACAACACTAGTAATAAAACTATGACGGAAATAACCCAAAAAGAAATGTTTACTTTTACTGTACCCAATACAAATTTTTAGCTTAAGTATTTTTCTTGATAGCTCTAGATTTTATGTTCCTTTGTTCTTTGTTAACTCTAAGAAAA